GATGAGCACTGGGTGTTGTATGTAAGCGATGAACCATGAGAATCAAACCCCAAAACCAAGAGCACCCTGTAAACACTGTATATTAGCCAACTTGACAATAAGTTATATTAAAAAATAAATAGTAAAATAAATAAACAAAAATTTTAAAAATAAAATAAAAAATAAAAATAAACCCACAAGGTTTTCAGCATTGAAAAACAAAAAAATAATAATAATAAACAAAATAAAATAAAATAAAACAACAAGTGGCAAACTGTGTAACAAAGAAGCCCCAACTCCTTGTCACCTACTAGACACGTCTAAGCCATAAGGAAGGAAAACGGTCGAAAGTCCTGGGAAGAAACACATCGTGTCAGGAAAACAACTAAATGCAAGGAAGCCTGTGTCACTGCACAGTATCAGTCAAGGCAGGCTCCCAGGACAGAGCGATTCCGGGGCCCAGAAGAGCCTGTCGTGACAAAAGAGCCCACCTACCAGAATGACCGATGTGACCTCCCTCCATCTTCACCACTCACAGAGCGACAGAGCCTGCGACCGCTGTGAGGCTTTCTAACCCCCACTCAGTACGCAGCACCCAGGCACGACCCAGCGCTCACACAGCAGGTCTGTGTGCACAAACACTGGCCCCCTGACCGCAGAGAACACGCTCTCCACGAGGACTCGGGAAATGTCAGGAAGCCGGGCCACTACCCGAGGGGCACACACGGTGTGACCAGGCTCGCAGGCTTCTATGCAACAAACAACAAGTCAGAAATTTTAACAACAGCTAGAAAACCCTTGTGCGTTTGGGAATTTATAAACACATTTCTGCCTAACTGATGGGTCAGAGAAGAGAGAACAGGAATCAGAAAGTACGAGGGAGGCTGGCCAGCGTCCACAGAGGAGGCTCCCAGAGCCGAGTAGGGCCGGCCTCGCCCTCCGCCCTGTCCACTCCCCGGAGCCCGGGGCCGAGGTCGGGACGGCAGGCAGCCCGGAAACCAAAGGGCAGGAGAGGGCGAGGAGGGCTGGCGGGCAGCAGCGGAGCCGGGAGCCCAGATGCCCAGCAGGCGGCACAAAGCGCCCGACTCTGGCTCCCTGGCGCACCCTCCTGGCCGAGCACACAGACGCCAGGGCTCCTGGGCCGGCGTAAGCAGGTGCCGGCCTCACGGACCCTCAGACATCACGTGGAGTCTGACAGGACCACACACAGAGACACTACTTAAGACAGTCACCCCTGGGGTCCGCGAGACTGGTGCGCAGAGAGAAACCTAAATACTTATGCTAGAAAAGAAACGAGGGCCGACCCGACAGAGGAGCAGGAGCGGGATCAACAACTTTGTGCCAACACGGCTGAGATTTACAAGAAACGGACAAACTCCCAGAAAGCAAACTTGGCAAGAGCACTCAGCCAGGACGGCCCCACGGCTGGTAAGGACACGGGTCCGCGCTCAGCCCCCCGCTGCCCAAAACACAATACGCCTCCGGCCCTGAAACTTCACTGCCAGCTCCCAGGGGACAGTCAAGGAGGCGGTAACGCCAACCACTCAGACCCCGCTGGGCCCAGAGGGAGATGCCAAGGCCCAGCTCGGACACAGCGAAGGGACCTTACAGGATGGCCAGGCCCGGAAGGCCACCGGAAGAACCCCGTGCAGAACAGAGGCACGTGGACCACGCAGGGCGCAGAGGGCCGGGCCGAGCCGGGCTCACCCGCGGGTCACAGCCCCCTTGCAGGAGGGGGTCTAGGGTGCACCACCCCACGACCACAGGAAACCACGCCCGGGTCGCACCCGCAGACACAGAAGCAGCTTTCCGCAAATTCAACACCCCCCCTCGACTCACAGAGTGGGGGCCCGGCTCCATCTCCGTCGGCGGCAGGAGCCGCTGTCAGTGCCCCTCGAGGAGCGGGCTCTGGTCCGGGGGCTCCAGCTGCACGTCCTTGCCCCCGGCCCTAGGTCAAGATGCCCTCTGTGCCCGTCCCCCAGCCCCCCTTTGGGAGCCCACCGCGAGGACGGGGCTTCCTCCAGGCTTCCTCCCTGAACGCTAGGTGTGCGAGCCCCGTGCCTTTGCCTGCCAGCGTTCCCGTTCAGTGGTCTGACAAACCGGAGAGTGGTCCGAGTTAGCAGCCCCTCCCTCCTGTGGTTTACACATCTGCGTCCTGATGAAGAAATGGTCCCCACTGCGAGGTCATCATGCTCTCGGGTCCTCTCCTTCACGGGGGAGAGTCTGAGCCACGCGGACAGCGCCACGGGGGTGTGGGTGGTGGCTGCCCCCAGCCCCTGGCCATTCTCACCGTCCTTGACGCTGGACAACCTCCCCCCCCCGCCCACTCTGGGGGCCACCAGCGGGCACCACACGCCCTGCCTCCGAACCACAAACCAGGTCCTTTCCAAAATACCCAAAGATCCATGAAGACAATTAGGGTTCTCCCAGGTCCCAGGTTCCCCCGTCACTGCTGACCCCGGCGCAGCTCACCCAGGTGGCCGTAGCCCACCACGTGCTTGGCCCGCGGGCCGAGGCGCGCGCGCAGGTCAGTCACAAGGTCGTAGAGCCTCTCGGTGGGCAGGGATAGGTCGTACTTGTACACGTAGCCATCCCGGCTCAGCGCCTCCGAGATCCTCTCCCTGAGGGCCCACAGCGCCTAGGATGGACAGAAAACAGGCAGAGTCAAGGGCCGCCACGAAGGGTGTCTATGCTGATGGCAGTCAAAACGCTGGGGCCTGGGGGGACTGGGACAGTCATGAGGGAACTTTCCGGGTGACAGAAGCGTTCTTGTGGTGATAGGCACAGGGATTTGGTCCAAGAGCCAGTACCAGATGGGGCCCCAGAACATGGCCATGGCTCGCTCGAGGACACTGCAGATGACAGGGTGGGAGCTGGTTGGGGCTACCGGCAGGCAAGGAGCCAAGTGAAGGCAGGGTTGGGACAGGGAAGACCCTGCAGACGGAGGGGACAGGGCTACAGGGATACGCGGGCTGTGGGGGACCCATCACATCACTGCCCTTCCAGATAAATCCGTCCATGGGTCACTGCCTAGGCTTGCTGACCTGTCACCAGGGACACCTGAAGTCCTCACGATGGAGCAGAGGACAGACAGCGCCAAGCAGGCCATCGCTCAGCTGCAGGGTGGTCACTGTCCTGCCCTCCACATGTCCCCCGGATCCAGGAAGCGTCATGGCAAAATTTCTACAAGTAAGGACTCGTGCCCTGGCTTTTTCACATGATCACAGTGCCAGGACCGTCCCCAAAAGAAGAACAACAACCCCTCACTCCCGTGGACTCCTCACCACCCCGGACCCCTCACCACCAGACAGTGTCCCAGCCTCCCCAATTCTATCATCGGCGTTAGGGGTCACTCCGAGGTCACTCTGCCTCCGACCCTCAGCAGCTCCCACCACCACCTGCCTCACACGCACAGAACCCGGCAATGACCCCACACAGCCCACTATGCTGCTGCACCGCGAGCTGGAGCACTGCGGGGCAGTCCGGCTGCCCACGGGCTCCTCCATTCACACCCACCACACCCTTCCGTGGCCACAGACCTGCCCTCCCCCCCGCCACCGCCTGCCCACCCTGCCCACCCACCTCAGGGCCCTGGAGGACCACTCCTGTCTCTGTCCTATCTTTGCTCAAATGCCCCTGTGGGGACGTCCCCCCCCCCCCCCCCCCCCGTGTCGTGCCCTGCCCACCCGGCACTGCCCAGCTCCTCCGTTTGAGAACACAGCTGTGAAGCCAGCAGTCCAGACGGGGCAGGGACCAGTGTGGGCACACGTGGCGGCCCCGTGGCCGCTGCCCCCACAGGAGGAGCAGTGACCCCACCCCAGCGGCCGGCTCTCGGGACTCGCTCTGAGCAGAAGCAGGGAGCACTGGCTTTCCCGCTGTCCTCCTACTGCTCAAGCCTCGGTCAGCGGAGCGGAAATGCCCGCTTGTGCAGGATAGGGTGGGAGCCTCTGTTCTCACAGCCCTGGGGCCTGCACTCCCACCACGGACGGACACTGCATTCAGGAACAAGTAAGGGCGTGGAAACACCAGAAAGGAAACAACTATGCCTGTCGGCAGGCAGAGAACAGCACCGAGCCGATCCGGAGACTGAAGGATTTGCCCACGTTTCCTGCACTGGCGCTGGCTGCGTGACACTGCGGGGGAAGCACAAGACGCCCCTGCCTGGGTCTCCCTCAGTGGTGATATCACCCAGTGGAGACGATGGGGCCATAGAGGCGGGAAGACGGTCAAGTGCCCTGAGACCCTTCGTCAGCAGAGGGGCTGAGGCACTGACGTCTGACCCCTTTGCTAAACATACAAATAACTGAAGAGAAAGGTTCAGCGATAAGGCGGAGAAAGGAACCCACCGAGCAGACCATAAGGGCCAGCCTGAGACCCGCCCCACTCACCTGCACGACCTCTGCCCCTGCCCCTGGTCAGACCCAGCCCTCCCACCACCCCGCTCCCGCGGCTGCTCCCACACAGCGCCCCAGTGACCACGGAGCACAAATCGGGGAGGACGGCACACAGCACCCCAGTTCCCCAGTGACGGTAACGGTGACGATGGCTCCCACAGCCATGGCTTCCTTCTCCCTCCTTTGGCCTCAGAGCCGAATGATCTCTGGTGGCAACATCAATGCCCTCTCCTAGGAAAGTGTAGCCCTTGAGACTGGCTCAGTTCCAGGCACACCTTCCCATGTCCCCCCGCAGCTCTTTCTGCCTTTTTTTTTTAATGTTTATTTATTTTTGTGAGACAGAGAGAGAGAGAGAGAGAGAGAGAGAGAGAGAGAGAAGGTGTAGGGGAGGGGCAGAGAGAGAGGGCGACACAGAATCCGAAGCAGGCTCCAGGCTCCAAGCTGTCGGCACAGAGCCCGACGCGGGGCTCGAACTCACGAACCGGGAGATCGTGCCCTGAGCCAAAGTCAGACTTTCAACCGGACTGAGCCACCCAGGCGCCCCATCTTTCTGCTTTTGTTTAAGATACTGATGATAGGGACACCTGAGTGGCTCAGTCTGCTGAGTGTCCAACTTCAGCTCAGGTCATGATCTCCCGATTCACGAGTTCAAGCCCCACATCGGCCTCGCTGCTGTCAGCGCAGAGCCTGCTTCAGATCCTCTGTCCTCCTCTCTCTGTCCCTCCTCCACTTGTGCTCTTTCAAAAATAAATAAAACATTTAAAAAATAAAATAAAACAACATAGAATACGACCGATAAAGACAGAGACCCAAAAGTGTGCTTCCAGAGAGCGAGGGACACCTGCCCACATCCGGACAGCGCACACCCTGAGCCAGACACACGGCACCGTGCAGACGTCCTGCACCAGTTCAGCACGACAGAAGCAGGGTAGGGGCAGCGGCACACGCACCTTGACTTTCATGTGGTCTGTGGCCACGGTCCCATCCGTCACCAGGCCGGAGCTCAGCACCTGCTCCAGGAAGTCATTCAGCTTCTCAGCATCATGGCCTGCTCTGGAGCCTGAGGTCTCGATCAGAACATAGAAGGGACTCTCTGGAAGGCACAGAAAGCAGGATGAGCAGAGGCGAGGCCGGCAGACAGACAGTCAGGATGGGCCTGGGCTGAGCGTCTCCGACAGCCCTGTGGGGCCATCGGGCAGGCAGCTCACACAGCAGGAAGCCTCTGCTCAGTTTAGAAATAGGTCCTTCGGGGAGCCTGGGTGGCGCAGTCGGTTAAGCGTCCGACTTCAGCCAGGTCACGATCTCGCGGTCCGTGAGTTCGAGCCCCGCGTCGGGCTCTGGGCTGACGGCTCAGAGCCTGGAGCCTGTTTCCGATTCTGTGTCTCCCTCTCTCTCTGCCCCTCGCCCGTTCATGCTCTGTCTCTCTCTGTCCCAAAAATAAATAAACGTTGAAAAAAAAAAATTTTTTTTTAAAAAAAGAAATAGGTCCTTCAGCGCGCCTGGGGGGCAAGTCGGGTAAGTGTCCCACTTCAGTTTGGGTCACGATCTCACACCTCATGGGTTCGAGCCCCACATCAGGCTCTGTGCTGACAGCTCAGGCCCTGGAGCTGCTTGGGATTCTATGCCTCCCTCTCTCTCTCTGCCCCACCCCTGCTTGCACTCTCTCCCTCTCTCAAAAAAATAAACATTAAAAAAATTATTAAAAAATAAATAAAAACAGGTCTTTCATGGGGCGCCTGGGGGGCTCAGTCGAGGAGCACGTGACTCTGGACCGTGGGGTTGAGCTCAATCCACGCCGGGTGTAGAGATCACTAAAAACAATAAACTTGTAAAAATAATCATAAAATAAAATAAAAAACAGGTCTTTCACTGGAAGAGAGACCACGCTCCCCAGAAACACATGAACAACCACATGACACCACGAAACCCTCAGCACTGGCGCCTGGATGGGGCCCCTCTTACAAAACCACACACGGTGGGGAGGCTACGGGCTAAAGGAGAGACCTCCATGCCCATGTGGCCCACTGTGCCCGCAATGCTCAGCAGTTCGTGCAAAAAATGCACACTAGGGGCACTTGGGTGGGGGGCTCAGTGGAGCCTTAATTTCAACTCAGGTCATGTTCCCAGAGTCATGGGGTCAAGCCCCACATCAGGTTCCACACTCAGCACGGAGCCTGGTTGAGATTCTCTCTCTCCCTCTCCGTCTGCCCCTCTTCCCTGTATATACACACCCATGATCTCTCTCTCTCAAAAAAGAAAGATGCGTACCTTTTACCGAAGATATCTTTTTTGAAGTTTAAAAAAAGGTACGTTAGTAACTATAAGAAAACGTTAAGCTTGTTTTTTCAAGGCTACTGTAAGTTTATCTTTACACTTGTTGAAATCACAAATAAACTCACTGAACCGTCTTTTCCTTCAGTACTACATTGTCCCTTCCAGGAAAACACGACAAGTTGGTCCTACTGTAAACAGAACAGTGTTTTCCAGAGAGTGGCTTTTTCCACGCTGAAATGCACATTCTGCTCTTAAACTTCTCACACGTCATAGAAAACACGGGGAGCTTTTACATTTCTATTGGCTCCTTTTCCAATTACAAAAGTAAAACATGATTATGAAAGGAGTCTTAGGGGCCCTTCGGTGGCTCAGTCAGTTGAGCGTCCAACTCTGGCTCAGGTCATGATCTCAACGTTCGTGGGTTCAAGCCCTGCATCAGGCTCTGCGCTAACAACATGGGGCTTGCTTGGGATTCTCTCCCTGCTTCCTGGCCCCTCCATGCGTGCCCTCTCTCTCTCTCAAAATTAAATCATTAATTGATGAACTTTTAAAATTTAGAGCATAAAGATCTTTCCATATTTATGACTATTTTGAACTAAGTTGTGTCCCCCAAATTCCCACAGTGAAGCCCTAATCCACCCCCAACATGACTATATTTAGAGACGGGGCCTTTTGGGAGGTAATTAAAGCTAACTTAGGTCATAAGAGTGGGGCCCTGACCCCACAGGGCTGGTGCCCTCATAAGAAGAGGGAGGGGCACCAGGAACCCCACCACCACCACCACCAGGAAAGGCCACGTGAGCACAGAGCTCCGGGCCGTCTGCAAGCCAGGACGAGGGCCCTCGCCAGAACCAGCCCTGCGGCCTTGCAGTGCCACCATCTGTTAGGGCAGATCTCAGAGGTGAAAATACCAAGATCTACAGGTTCCGAGGCACAGACACTTTCTGCAACGTGGTATCGGCGTCCCGTGTGCTGGTCTGGAATGAACCAGCTGGGATCTGTCACGGACAGATACTCCTCTGAGTCGAAGAGAGGCATTTCTGACGAGTGCACCTGGGTTCTCAAAGGCCCCGGCGCTCTGGCACAACAGGCAGCACCGACGGGACCCGCACTGGGGGCGCATTTACAACGCGCGTAAAGGAATTCTGCACTCAGCCAGTTGTGGCGACGCCGGGGCCACGGACACACCGACCTGTCCAGGTTCCTGCCACACCTTCCCAGGTTGTGGGCAGGACTGATGGCCTGCGAGCCTCCCCTGCGACCCAGGGCCCGGAGGGGGTGCCGCCCGCCAGCTGGGGTCAGTACCTTGCACCGGGCTGGCGAGGCGAAGGTGACGCGTGACCAGCCACATGCACTCGGCATCCATGAACTCGTACGCGGACAGGATCTCACCCAGCAGCCCCTTGCAGGTGCTGAAGGTCTGCAGGACCTCAGAGAAGCCCGGACAACCTGCAAAGGGTCAGAGCCTCAGGCCCCAGAGCCCACGGCCCCCGACACCCACCCCGTCCCCCCTTACCGCGGCCGCGCCGACCCCAACCCCAGGGGAGGGTGCTGGGCGAGCTGGGCAGCCTCGGGAAGGTGGTGGGAAGCAGAGGGGCCGAGACGTAATGAGAACGCAGGGCTAGTGGTTGGGAACGGCTTCGTTGTAGCTCTCTTCCCACAACCAGCACTCGGCTTTCCGTGGGAAATTCATCTGGGGCTTCAAGACACAGCCAGGCCCAGCACAGGCCCGGGTAGCTCGCCCGCCGGCGGCCGGAGGCGACCCTGCGGCAGGAGGGGTGGGATGCACGCGGCCTTTCAGAGGTGAGGCAGGGAGAGTCTGCGGGGGGCGGGGAAGTGTGTCCTGCACAGCGCGAGGCTGGCAGGTGCCTGCTCTGCACACATCCAAGGAGCACATGGAGGTGCCACGGTGGGGACGACAGGGCACGTGGGGGTTTGGCAGCACGTGGAGCACCGCGACGGGAGCACCCATAAATGGAGATCAGACGGGAAGAGACTGCCCAGACGCGACAGGAGTGTGAAAGGGTGGAAAACACGGCAGAGCGAGAGCACACACTGGAAAGTTGTGTCGTGGGTTCAGTGACAGCCCTGAGGGACAGGAAGACAGGAATCTTCTAGAACTGGTGAGACATCAAGCCACAGGTGCAGGAAGCTCACGAGACCCACACACAACGCGCCCCAAATCACAGAAGACCAAAGACAAAAAGAAGACCTTTAAGGTGACCACAGAACAGAGCGCCAGAGTCCCCGGAAGCCACAGTGGCAGAGGGCAGCAGGCCTCCCCGTGACCACCAGCACGAGCCACAGGCCACGCAGTGACACTCGACAGGAGGAACAAAAACAAACCCAACGTGCTTGTGGACCAGTGACAGTGTCGTCACGGGGGGGGG